ATATATATATATTATATGTTGAATATTTTATTTTGGTTTGTCATTTTAATTATGAAAATAATTATTTTGACATAAACTATTTAAAGTATATTTGTATACTTGTTTAAAAAATGATATGGGTATTTTATTTGATTTAAAATTAATTTTATATTAATTTTTGGTGTCAAATAAAATACACTTTGAACATTTGAGTGGAGAAGAATTTTGAAAATCCTTCTCATATCATTCATTCGGCCATATGATAAAATGGATTGACAAATTGCTAATGTTTTGCTTGATTGATAAATTAGTGGACTAATTAATTTTGTCATTTAGCTAATGACAAAAATAATGGAGCATCTTTGTTTTATTTAAACAATTCACTCCATTTTGTAAAAAGGAGTTTTTATGATTTTCGGCCATTTGAGATTCTAGTGAGAGAAAATTATTTTAAGTCTTCCATTAATATCATTTTGTGTATAGAAAATATCTATAATATTTTCTAAATATTATTAGAAATATTTTCTATAGAAATATACAAGATTAGTATTATCCCAAATTTTAATCTTTATATTTTATACTACTATAATCTTTACTAGCATAAAGATTGTGGTAGACTCTGGTGTTGTTCGTGTGTCAAAGTTGGAGACCGGACGCTGGAACGGTTACGTTTGCACTTTCAACGCTCTTCCAACAACTTCTTCGTTTTACCGCTTACGGAGAAAGGTACAATTTTCTTACTACTATAAGTTTTAGTACGTGATTCTGGGCAAGATAATCATGTTAGGATGTTAAAATATTTGTATTCCCCTGCCTATTCTTGCATGGTTACCTTTCAGTGGTATCAGAGCCAGCGTACAAAACTATAGTTTTACGTTTGACTTTTAAAATTTTAAAAGTCAAAGTTTTAACTTGGTAATTATTAAAATTCAAAAATTGGTAAAATGATTTTATTTAGTCTTGGAATAAGTATTGGACTTAAATAAATCATTGAAAATGAATTCTAAATTTATTTATTTTATTTCTACCCGTAATATATATATAAATATATATATATATATATATATATATATATATTGATTTTTCGAAATATATATTTATATATATTGTAGAAATAGTAAATATAATTTTATTTGGACATAAAACATTATTTTATGATTGATAAAATTATATTTTAATTTTTGAATGTATTATTTCCTATTTTGAATTTATTGTATTTATTTAGGTTAAAACCGAAAATAAATATGGGAAAATTCAAAATGAACTTTATTAAACTTGGAAATATTATTTCTAAGTTGAATAAAGTTGTTGGTATATATATTGTTCAAAATAATATTAGTTAGTAATTAAATAAATATATATTTATATATGTACTCGGTTTTATTACCGAAATATTATATATATTTTTATATTTGTATTTTAATTACATAAATGACTAATATATATTTTGGAAAGTTATATCTCAGTAAGAAAAAGAATTGTTTTCAAAATATTAAATTTTTGTAATTTAATATTTTCGAAATCAATTTAAATGGCTTTTTATAACTTATTGAGATTTAACTAATATATTTTGGAAATAATGATTTATAAATTTTGGAAATTTTATTTCCAGGTTTATAAATGTTAAAAATAACTACTGGAAGTTGAAATTTAATTTTCATGATTCTTGCAAAATTGTTTCAAAATTTTAATGGCCTTTTTGAATATAATTTTGCAAAAACGGCATTTTGGTCATTTGGAATATTCTGGATATTTTTTTATGCTGGCAGAATATCTAGAGTATATAAAATGATTTTATAAAATTTTATTAGATTTATTTAGACATCTAATTTAATTTTATGAGTTTTAGAAAATATTTACTGCCGTAGTATTTTTCTAGAACTGTCTGGGGTGAGCGCGGTTCACCCGGCGTATGTATATCTCTATTGCTTGTGTGGATGTATGATATGCATGGTGGATGATTGTGGCTATAGTTTATTTGATTATAATACGGCCTGCGTGTCGTGCCTTATCTCATAAACTCTTGTTGTAAATCTATTTCTCTCCCTTACCTCAACCGAGGATTCTTTTCTTACGTGGTGGTTAGAAGACGAAAAGATTTGAAGACTGTTTGAAGAAATCTAAAAGAATGGAGATAGCCCGAAGTCCAAGTGACCGGAAGCCAGTGGGAGCTATCGTTTTATTTTTCTTTTAGGGGCCACAATCATTACACGTTTATTTACTACGTTTTGTGAATGCATGTTGAATGTATGTTGAATGCTAGCAATTGACATGTGCGCGGCCATGTCGATAGGTGATATCGTAATTATAAATCCCTCACGAATATTAAGTCTGTCGCCTTCTGACGCCCGGCACCTATCCGGCTAATGTGCACTGTCATGTACTCAGCCTCAGCAGAGCATAGTACGGTGTATATTAAGCTGGTTACGGGAACCGCCATAGCGTGGTCGCTGTCGAACGTTGGGTTAGACTTAACTGAGTCTCGGTCAAATGGATGGACGACTCAGAGGCAGTAAGTTGTGTTGGAACACGGGTTTACGCCTACGTCGTACTAAACTGTGTTCGGTTTTTATGACAGGTTTTGATAATGCCAAACCGCCGCGACACATCGAAGCTAAAGTGAGCAAAACTAAGGCGAAGGAACATGGCATGATGACTTGAGAACCAAGAACCCAGAATCAAGAACGAAGAACTAGAATTGTATTGAGTCGGTCTTCATGTGATCAAGACCGGCACAAAATTCCAAATCTTGGCTCTCTAGGCTCAATTCATAAAATCTCTTTTACATATTCAAAAATATTTTTATTAAGTTTTAAACTTGGCTCAAAACACTTGGAGTTCGCCCAAGCCAAAAACCAAGCCATCCGGCGTTCGGCTTTCAGAAACCGGCGTTCGGCTTTCGGTTTTCGGCATTGGTTTTTTGGCGTCCGAACCAACCAAGTGGTTTTCAACTTTTTATGACTGGTTTTTACTTCTGGGCATATTTAAATAGTTCTCCAACAAAAACAACTCAAAAACTACTCTCCGTTTTTAGTCGTTTAGTGAAAACCATGCGAAACGGCACGAACTTGGTTAGCCATGGTTGTCAACTAAATGACGTGGTTTTCAAGAGTTTTACTTGATTTCTTAGCAAAATGCAATAAACAAATGTTTTCTAAACTTGGTTTTTATTTTGGAGAACTTGCGTTTTTGACATCGGCTAACGGCGTGACTAAACCAACCATGGGTCTGGCTAAACAAAGCCCAACAGCGATGTTGAGGTAATCAACAGCGCTGTCTGGCCTGGGTAGCCAAAAACATGGTTTGGCGTTAAGTCTTCCAACAGCGATGTTGGAATTAAGACATCGCTGTTGAGCCAAGGTTGGATTTCCAGAAACTTCTGGAACAGCGATGTAGGCTCCCCTACAGCGCTGTCCAACCTAAACCAAAAATATAGTGCATTGGCAGAAAGTTTTTGGACAGCGATGTTGACCCAGCAACAGCGCTGTCAGGCCAAACTTCCACCTTCAAAAGTCAGACCTAAACAGCGATGTTCAAGTAATAGACATCGATGTAGGGACCTGACCGTTGGAAGGAACTTAAGGCTAAAACTTTCCTTGTTTGGAAGTCAACAGCCAAAACAGCGATGTAGGGGTTTTTGGACATCGCTGTTGGCATGACCGTTGCTTCCCAATTTTTAAAATCAAGCCTAGAACAGCGATGTCCAGGCCTAGGACAGCGCTGTCTAGGTTAATTTCAGCAGATCCAATTTTAATCAAATCCCACAAATTGTGCCAATCACCCCTTAAATGTTTTGGTCCGTTGGAGCCTATTTTTCCACTATAAAATGGGGTGTTTTGGTCTGTTTTACACATCACATTACTTCACAACTCCTACTCTTTCATTGCAAATCATTCTTTAATTATTCATAGCTTTTGAGAGCCATTTTTGTGAAGCTTGTGTTGTGTTCTTGAGCGTTCTTAGTTTACTCAATATCCACTCTAAAGAGAGAGTATTGTTCTTGAGTGTTTTTAGTGTTCTTAGACACTTGACAAGAGA